GCGCGCCCGGCCGCGGCTGTTACGCGTGAGCCTCACGGTCTGAAAAGGGGGTGCGGGGGGGGTGGGGGGCGAACGCCGGCCAGGCTGGCCTGGGGCGCCCGCGCGGCGGGAGAGGTGTGGTACAGGGCGACTTTCCGTGCCTTACTTGGTCTTAATTTTTGCCAATGTGAAAATTAAGCCTCAATCAGAGCTACAGCAGGGATGAAACGAACAGGAGGTCGCGGCCGTCGGGGACCGGCACCTCCAGGCGGCTGCGTTGGGCTTTTGACTCCACGTCTCTTCTTCCTTTATTTTCGACGCCCGACGACGGCTCCTGGGTTGGGGACGGGGAGACGCGGCGCGCGCGCCTCGGACGGGGCACCGGGGCGCCCCGCGCGGCTTCTCCGGGCGTCCTTGTCGCGGGGGTTGGGGTGTTTTGCGCTTTTGGGGTGTTTTGTCCCGTGAAGTTGCTGAACCAGTAGCGTGCGTCTCACCGTGATCCGTTCTGCATCATTTCACTCCTGTAGGTGATCAAAGCATGTGATTTTTTAGATCTGCCTTTTGCTGTCGGTTAAGAAGCACAACGCTAGCCCATGACGCGGGGACCCCTACGGTTTTCTCTGCAAGAATGTCAAGATTTTACTTCCCGAACGTTGTTTTGGAGAAATGGGACGAGCCCTGCCTTCACGGTGGATTCGGCCGGCATTTTTCTTAACCTTTTCTGTCATCCGCGCCTCCGCCAGGCGTTCTGAGGCCCCCCGCCCCCTGCCCCCGGCCCCCCAGTTCTGCTCGGCCGTACCCCAGTTCCCAGCTACCTTTCGACACAGCCCCTTTGAACCTCGCTTCCCAGAAACCAAATGCCCAGTGGAGGGAGCCAGCAAGTCCTCCCATTTTCTCCAAGATGAAGTTTTTTTTTTTGTTTTTTGTTTTTTTGTTTTTTTAATTCCTGCCATTATGGCGACACCCAGGCCTCGCCCATACAGGGCATGAGGCGGCCTCCCCGGACGATGTCCCTAAGGACCGATTCTTAAAATATATTCTTGTGTTACGGCTGCATAGTCTAGTCATGTTCCGTCTTTTATTTTTCAATATTTGATAAACATTCGATGTTGCCAACTTAGGGGGTAGATGCTTGTACATGGATGTGTCGTAATAAAGTGAGGTTTTCTTGATCTATATTTATTAAAACGCTGAAAGTCCACTCGGGTCTCTTCTCTGGACGGTGATGGCTTATGTTTCTCGCTTCCGTTCCTCTCGCTCCTTTCAAACACTCAAAGCGTCTGGAACTGTCTGGGCAGCGCCCCGGGCCGGGCCCGGCCCCCCCAGGCCCGCCTGGACGCCGCGTGGGGCGAGGACGTGCCTGCAGGCCGCGGCGCTGCCTCAGAGGCTTCAGTTTCTGCCGATTCGGCCTGACGCGTGGCCCGGCGGGCTGGACTCTGTTAAGCCGCCGAGAAGGAGCTTTAAGGCAGCGAGTGTGCAACGCAGAAAGGACAAAGAGCAGAGTCTCGGTCAGACCCCCAGAGTGACCCGTGTCCCCGTGGCAAAGGTCCGCCCAGAGGGGCTGGGCACAGCAAGGCCTGAGCCCCCCACAGTCTAAAGCTCCTTCCGGGGGGGCCCACAGACGAGGCCGGACAGTCCGGGAGGGAGAGAGCAGCATCCACATCACGGTCAGCGCTGCCAGCCACCTCCCCGCGGGGCCCCCCATATCTGGGTCCCCCGTCTGTGTCCCCCGTCTGTGTCCATCTGTGTCCCCCGTCTGTGTCCCCCGTCTGTGTCC